AAACCCAGGTTCAATCCCTGGGTCGGGAAGATCCCCTGGAGAAGGGAATAGCAACCCACTCCAGTATTCTTGCCTAGAGAATCCCATGGACAGAGGAGCCTGGTGGGCTACAGTCCATGAGGTCCCAAGGAGTTGGACATGACTGAGTGAGTATCAAATGCTTTTAATGGTTGAGATTTCTGCTGTAGATGAGATTTACCTTTCAAAGGCAGGTGTCATCTTCCTTTTGAACAATCCTTTCACATTTACAATGGAGGTATCCTTTGGCATATTTTGTTTTATGAATTTATATTTCATTTCTTTCTTTCTTTAGAAAGAAATTTGCCATTTATTTCTTTAGAACACTAACTCATCAGGTCCTTTCTGAATTAGTTTGATAATTTGATATTGCCATTGGATAATGGAGCATTTGGCTTCATGTTTTTAATTTAGTTCACCCTTGAAAATGTAGTGCTTCCCTGTTTATAATAGCCAGGACATGGAAGCAACCTAGATGCCCATCAGCAGACGAATGGATGAGGAAGCTGTGGTACATATACACCATGGAATATTACTCAGCCATTAAAAAGAATTCATTTGAATCAGTTCTAATGAGATGGATGAAACTGGAGCCCATTATACAGAGTGAAGTAAGCCAGAAAGATAAAGACCATTACAGTATACTAACACATATATATGGAATTTAGAAAGATGGTAATGATAACTCTTATGCAAAACAGAAAAAGAGACTCAGATGTATAGAACAGAGTTGTGGACTCTGTGGGAGAAGGCGAGGGTGGGATGTTTCAAGAGAACAGCATCGAAACATGTATATTATCTAGGGTGAAACAGATCACCAGCCCAGGTTGGATGCATGAAACAAGTGCTCGGGCCTGGTGCACTGGGAAGACCCAGAGGGATCGGGTGGAGAGGGAGGTGGGAGGGGGGACCGGGATGGGGAATACATGTAAATCCATGGCTAATTCATTTCAATGTATGACAAAAACCACTGCAATGTTGTAAAGTAATTAGCCTCCAACTAATAAAAATAAATGGAAAAAAAAAGAAATTAAACAAAAAAGAGGCAGACAATATTGTATATTAACATATATATGGAATCTACAAAAAAAAAAAAAGAAAATACTTTTGGAGAATGTTGCAGGCTTTATGTCCTTTTTGGAGATCTACAATGCACATTAACTTATAAAAGTCTCTGAAAAGTTCTGTGGTAAGAAAACCTATTAAACTTTGTTTAACCCAGTGTTTAAAAAAAAAAAAAGAAAGAAAATGTAGTGCTTCCTTGTGATTTATTAATAGTATAATATCAGTAAAAATAAGTAATGCTTTTACAAAGTGCTGAATTATGTAAATGGGGGAGTTTTGAGGGAAATAAGATTTCCACCTGTCAATGTATTGGGTTGGCCAAAAACTTCATTTGAGTTTTTCCATTAACATCTTATGAAAACCCTGAATGAACTTTTTGGCCAACCCAATAATTCCTAACTCCTCTCGATACTCCAAAAATAGTAGGAACTTGGTAAGTGGTTTCAAATGAAATGAGAGAAAGAGTTCACTCCTGACTTCTTGAGTGTGCGATGAAGTTGAAGTCTTGAGTCGTGTACCCAATAAGGATATGGGCTTTTGAATCTGAGAGCTGATTTCAGTTTCTTTCACTAGGTAGCTGTGTGATCTTTGATAAATTATTTTACCTCTCCGAGTTTCCTAATCCATGAAATATGGAAGGTAATTTTTACCTTTCAAAGTTACTTTGACTAGGTAATGTGCACAAAACGTTTACCATGGTACTTGGCACACATGGCCATTGTTGGAATAGGAGAAAGATACCTATGGGTGGAAAAAGCCTCATATAATAGTCTTGACTACTGAATTTAGGAAAGTCAGCCTTTCTCCAGAATAATAGTCAACTCTGACAGGAAGTTATGAACTTTTGTAATAGAGGATGTATTACAAAGCACTGTTGGGGTTTTGAGTCTTGTTAATGACACCAAGTGGTCTTCTAAGCGTGGAGTGAGTACCATTGCCCACACAGCAATTAACTTCACCCTTCATTAGTAATGTGCCTGCAGACATGATTTCTTTTGCTCTATCTTATCTCACTAGGATGCCATCCAAGAGAACACTTAAATAAAAATCCAGTTGTCATGTCTTGCTGTTAGCTGAGCAAATGTAGGGTAAACACCATTAAGGTTAAATGTGTTACACTAACCTCTGTTGAATGAGTAATAAGAAGGCCAAGAACGCCATCTAAGCTGAGGAACAGCTCATTCTGAATGACAAAATGGAACCTTCTAAATTTAGACCTGGGTTTAATGAGGGGTTTCAGGCATTCTTACCTGAAAGCACAAGAGAAAAACTGAAGTTGTTCCTTCATTTGGGGTCTGTTTATTACTTATAATTATGCTCCCTGTTCAGGATCACAATCGAGGATTTTTAAAATATTTTTTTCCTTCCCCCTTTTCCTCTTTCATTCTCATCAGGAATTATTTACTAAGTCACTTCAGTCATGTCCAACTCTTTGAGACCCTATGGATCATATAGCCCACCAGGCTTCCCTGTCCATGGGATTCTCCAGGCAAGAGTACTGGAGTCGGTTGCCATGCCCTCCTCCAGAGAAGGAATTATTTACTGAGCATCTATTATGGCCAAAATACTAAGCTAAATTGTGAAAGCCAAAGGTATAACAGAATTTCTGCTCTTCATATCTATTCCAGCAGTTTAGGTGGCTCAGACAGTATAGAATCTGCCTGTAAAAATTCGGGAGACCCAGGTTCAATCCCTCGGCTGGGAAGATCCCCTGGAGAAGGGAATGGCAACCCACTCCATTATTCTTGCCTGGAGAATTGCATGGACTGAGGAGCCTGTCAGGCTACAGTCCATGGGGTTGCAAAGAGTTGGACACCACTGAGCGACTAAGACAGGGAGGACAGAATAGCCATCGTAGGAGGTAGGTTTTGATGACGAATGCCAGATAAATTTCTATATAAAATATTCTGAGTTGGCAGTTTAGTAGAGACAGCCTGTCTTTCTCTCAGACTCTAATAGATCAAAACAGTTTATTTATCTTCAATTTTCCCAAATCAAAGCTGGCACTGCTACCTTAATCTACTTTTTTTTTTTTTTTTACAGGCATTTAAATTCTAAGGTGTCATCTGGAATTTGAGAGCCATGCTCCATTAACACTAATGAGTGACTTTTGGTTAAATCTTCATGGATCAGGCTGAACATTTCCCTGTGGGTATTGATTCACCTTTCATTTCAGTGGGCATCACACCAGCCTGCACTAAAACTGTTTGCATCATTTAACCTGTAAGGGTGTCCAACACATCTATGATTTATGATTTGGAAAGTATCCAGCTTGGTCCAGATTGTTACTGAAAATTTCCTGATTTCTTCCTTTCTATTCAGGTCAAATAGAGGCCTGTAAATTTACAGGCACTCCTTGTTTCCTATAGGGCTCAGGTCAAAATACTTTATAAATGGGCTAATATGACTTCTTAAAATGACTGTTCTAACAATAATGGAATCATGTAAATTTACTCCTGAAAGTTGGAGGTTCAAGTTAAACATCCATGACAGACTATATATTTTTGTCTGTATATTTTTAAATAACCTTCAGTTCACAGCTATGTGGGTGGGCAATTTTTAAAAATTCCTGAACAATGCAAGGAACCTCAAAAAAATCATATTTTTACTTCCTACATAATTTTGAATAGTGTTTATATTAACTGTATCTACCTTGAGTGCAAACTTGATGTCAGGAAATACTGTTGAGATGTGTAATTCAAGGTGAATAAGAAGGTGTTAGGCTTCCCTGGTGGCTCAGAGGGTAAAGTGTCTGCCTGCAATGCGGGAGACCAGGGTTTGATCCCTGGGTTGGGAAGATCCCCTGGAGAAGGAAATGGCAACCCACTCCAGTACTCTTGCCTGGAAAATTCCATGGATGGAGGAGCCTGGTGGGCTACAGTCCATGGGGTTGCAAAGAGTCAGACACAACTGAGAAACTTCGCTGTCTAAGAAGGTGTTAGGTTCTATGATTTTGTCATGAACCATAACTTTGAGGCCTCAGCCTCCTATTACTAATGAATTTTCCTCTCATGCTCCAAGATTTTGAAACTTTGAACTGCTGGAGGTCAAGTGTGGATCTTTGTGCCTGTATCTCCGCCCTTTGGTTTGGGGACCTGGTCCTTGCCAGCATTTTCTTAACAAGTTGAGTCCCTGTTATAGTCTGACTGTTAGATTGGGAGCCAATAATACTTGGCAATTTGTTGCTGTCATAATGATGCTGAGGACTTTCCAGATGGCTTTTCCCTTTCTCTCTAGAAGAACTATGACTTACTTATTCCCTTTGATGGGGTTTTAATCAAGCAGACATTCATCATGACCTTGATCCAAAGTAGGGACAAGACTTGGTTGGTTCATCTCTAGTCTGAGGATGACATATACAATACCCCTGTCTTGTACTCCGTAGGACAGGCTCACATGCTTGTCAGAGGTTTGGCTTTCTGATACGAGGATGAGGCTTTAGGAGGGTGGAAGTCATGTATATTAGGATTGGGGTGTTGCCAGAATACATTTTAAGGAAAAAAAGAGACAGAAATATCCAATTGAATTTTTGAAATAACTAAACCAGCTGTGAAGGGAACAGGAAGTAGACAGATGAGAATGTTCTGTTTTCTTTGGGCCTGTCTCTGTAGTACTCTCAAAAGTGAAAAGTGAAAGCTAAAGTCATTTAGTTGCGTCTGACTCTTTGCGACGCCACGGACTATACAGTCCATGGAATTCTCTAGGCCAGAATACTGGAGTGGTCTTCCCAACCCAAGGATCGAACCCAGGTCTCCCGCATTACAGGCAGATTCTTTACCAGCTGAGCCACAAGGGAAGCCAAGAATACTAGAGTAGGTAGCCTGTCCCTTCTCCAGAAGAGCTTCCCGACCCAGGAATCAAACCAGAGTCTCCTGCATTGCAGGTGGATTCTTTACAAACTGAGCTACCAGGGAAGCCGCTGTAGTACTCTCAGGCTAGGCACTTAATGTAAGTTCAGATTAGGAACGAAATGAGACTTTTCTGCTATTAAGTTTAAAGGTAGATACTTTTCTCACATCCAACGTTGTTCCCCATCTTTTTCTATGACACCTCCCACTCAACCTTAAAGAGAAAGAAACGGAATTTTCTATAGAGTTTTATGGTTAGTGTTACCTCAGCAGTGTTCTCCTTCGGAATAAGGGTAGCGGTAGTTGGGCAATGTCTCTCCTGTGCGAGGGATGAAGGTTCCGTGTCAAGCTTCTTTCTGCCTTACAGTTCTCGCGTTTGGGCTGCTCTTTGGCCAAAATCCTTCTCTTCAGCCTTCGCTGAGGTCTCTGCTTAGACATGCCCCCCTCTTTCATGTTCTCTGTGACCTGATCCATCTGAGCTGGAGTCTCTCTCACGGTCACTCCGTCTCCTCAGCCTCTGCCCACTGTGTTCCGCTCCACTGCACTCACCACTCCCACGAGAGAGTAAGCTCTCTGAGGGCAGACACGTCTTACTGCTGTACCCTCAGGGTCAGCTCCCTGGTTAGAGCTTCAAAATATATATAAAGAGATATTTATTTATTTTTTTAAGTGGCTGTGGCGGCAAGTCTTAGGTAAGGCACTCAGGATCTTTTGTTGCCACGCATGGGCTTCTCTAGAGTTGTGACTCTGAGGGGCTCAGGAGTTGTGGTGGGTGGGCTTCGTTGCCCCAAGGCATGTGGGATCTTAGTTCCTTGACCAGGGATGGAACCCACATCCCCTGCCTTGGAAGGTGGATTCGTAACCACTGAACCACCAGGGACGTCTCTCAGAAAATCTTTATGGGATCAATGTATTCATTTCTTACCCTAGGCTCTGTGTGTAGCCTCTGAGCCTCTATAAGCATGGAGCTCTGCTCGGCCTGTTGCGTGATCATAGATGCCCTGTTCCAAGACGTGCAGTTTTTTGCATTTCTGAAATCAGGATATGTATCAGAAACAAAGATTAAATAGGTGGTGGTTATCGCCATCAAAGCTGAAAGTAAATTGATATGCATCTTATAAGTCAATGTGCCTTAGAATCAAGGACACTGTGGTAGACAGAATGTATGTGCGTGATAAGTCGCTCGTCATGTGCAACTCCGTGCGATCCTATGAACTGTAGCCCACCAGGCTCCTCTGTCCATGGGATTCTCCAGGCAAGAATACTGGAGTGGGTTGTCATGCCCTCCTTCAGGGGATCTTCCCGACCCAGGAATCGAACCCATGTCTCTTAAGTCTCCTGCTTTGGCAGACAGGCTGCATTGGCAGCCACCTGGGAAGCCCCCGTAGACAGAATGCCCCCCACCAAATGTGTCTGTGGTCCTGATACTTGTAAATATATGTCACCTTACATGGCAAAAGGGACTGTGCAGATGTGATTCAGTTAAGGATTTTAGGATGGCAAGGTTTTCCTGGGCTTTTCAGCCCACGCGCCTGTGTGCTTTTTGTGACCCAATGAACTACAGCCTGCAGATTGGTCAATGTAATTACAAGCATCTTTATAAGAGAGAAGTAGGAAATTCAAAGTCAGAGAGGAAGATTTTGTGATGGAAGCAGGAGTTAGAGTGATGCCACAGGATAAGGAAGGCACCCTCTAGAAGCTAGAAATTCAAGGAAATGGGATTCTTCCCTAGAGACTCTGGAAGGATCATGACTCTGCCCGTCATTTTAGACGTCCACCTCCAGAACTATATGATAATAAATTTGTATTGTTTTAAACCATTAAACTTGGTTGATTGGGTACAGCCATATTATTACAAGCAAGAGCATGAATTATGTTCTGGAAATTTAAAGTTTTATTTAATCTTTCCAACAAAGAGGGGTGAGAGTCAGTGGGTCATGTCAGACATTCCTGCCCCTCAGTGGGAGCATTTGGAGGTATGTTTCTTTTTTTTTTGAGGTATGTTTCATGCAACCCTCCAGGGAATCCCCTTCAAGACTGAGCCCTAATTGCCCTCAGTACTCATTAGCGACCCTCTTACTGACTTGCCTTGCTACCTTGCCTTCAGGCTTCTTGGATTATTTCCGAGATAAACCTTTGGCATCCTAATCCTCACCTCAGGTTCTGTTTTTGGATGAGCCCAAACTGGCACGTCACCCTAGGTCAAGAGACTTGGCCCCAACCATCTTCCCCTCTATCTTCCTCCTTGCTACCCTCTCTCTTGCCCACCAACAACCAACGGCAGCAGCTATTATTCAGCATCTAATCTGTTCTGAATTCCTGCCTCCCATAGGATGTTTGCACTTCCTCCAACTGCGTGACTGCTCCTAAACTGGGTTCATCCTGCAGGTTCCCAGTCAGTGTCCCTTCTTTATGGAGTTTCCCTGGCCCTCCAGACTGTGAGTGTTTTCCCCTAATCCTCCTGCACTTTTCATGGCACTGACTACAGATGAAATGAGTTGATTATTTTATGGGAGGATGATTATCTGTTAGTATCGCATGATGTGGGTGTCAGGTAAGATTTATGGGAAACTCACAGGCAGAAGGGGCAATGTGGTGCATATGCCCCGTCCTCTCAGCGGCTAGCTGAGACGCAGGCTGGGCTAGGCAGAGCTGGACAAATCACGGGGAGTGCTGCAAGAGGAGGACCCTGCTGTGTACCATGTATGGATTTATAAGGTAACTGGGAGGAGGCAGGGCCAGCTAATGAACACATGATAGTGGAAGTTCCTGGACAGAAATATGTACCAGATCTACCTTATTGTGCCAGGGCTTAGCTGGAAGTCTTATCCTAATTTTCTTCCTTCCTTCTTCCCTCCCTTCCTTGCTTTCTTTTTCTCTTTCTTTATTGTTGAAGTATAGTTGTTTTACAATGTTGCATTAGTTTTAGGTGTACAGCAAAGTGATTCACAAATATATAAATATAAAATCTATTCTTTTTCAATTCTTTCCCCTTATCAGTTCAGTTCAGTCGCTCAGTCGTGTCTGACTCTTTGCGACCCCATGAACTGCAGCATGCCAGGCCTCCCTGTCCATCAACAACTCCTGGAGTCTACCCAAACCCATGTCCATTGAGTTGGTGATGCCATCCAACCATCTCATCCTCTGTCGTCCCCTTCTCCTCCTGCCTTCAATCTTTCCCAGCATCAGGGTCTTTTCCAATGAGTCAGCTCTTCGCATCAGGTGGCCAAAGTATTGGAGTTTCAGTTTCAGCATCAGTCCTTCCAATGAACACCTAAGACTGATGTCCTTTAGGATGGAATGGTTGGATCTCCTTGCAGTCCAAGGTTCTCTCAAGAGTCTTCTCCAACACCACAGTTCAAAAGCATCAATTCTTCGGTGCTCAGCTTTCTTTAGAGTCCAACTCTCACATCCATACATGAGCACTGGAAAAACCATAGCCTTGACTAGATGGACCTTTGTTGGTAAATTAATGTCTCTGCTTTTTAATATGCTGTCTCTTTTTATATGCTTTTTTAATATGCTTTCCCCTTATAGGTTATTACAAAATGTTGAGTATAGTTCCCTGTGCTATACAGTAGGCCCTTATCATTTATTTGTTTTATATATAGTCATGTACCGACTTGATGGACATGAGTTTGAGTAAGCTCCAGGAGTTGGTGATGGACAGGGGAGCCTGGCATGCTGCAGTCCACAGGGTTGCAGAGTCGGACACAACTGAGCAACTGAACTGACTGGCTGAATGTACATATGTTAATTCCACACTCCTCATTTTACCTTAAGTTTTAAGTGGATGGCCCCAACAGTTGAAAAAAAGGTTGAGTTCAGACTTCCAATATATGTATATGTATTTGTGTTTATACATGTTTCACTGTCACACTAAATGTCAAATGGTGAAGCTGAATTTCTCTTATCGAGATAAACATACACAAAATAAAAATAGACAAAAACAGAAATGACATTTTAAAAATAGAAAACTGCAAAATGGCTTTGCACGTCCTAATAGATCATTTCATGTGTTTTCTGAGTGCACACATCACGGGGTGATTACTGAGCTAGAGCAGTGCTTTCCTGAGGGACAGACCCCCTGAGAGCTGGTTAACATGCAGACTGTGATTCATCAGGCCTGGGAGGGGCCTGGAATTCTGCATTTCCCAGGTGATACCCATGGAATTGTTTTGGGAACCACACCTTACGTAGCCAGCATCTTGTTATCCAAAATATTCATAAGCCACTGAGATTTAGATGCTTGGGTTGAACAGATTAATATGGCATCTTCTGTCATTTTGGAATGATTTGCTTTGTCTCATGTTTTGCTGTTTCCAGGTGGACTCAGTGGGATGTGTATGACCTTCACTGCATCGTTGAATGATTGCCCATCAGAAAAAAACAAAAAGTGAAGGGCAACTCGGCAAGGTAAAAGTTTGTTGACTCTTCATTTCTCTTGGCCTTTAAGATCCAATTATCTGTTTTTCTTCCTCTGAAGGGATAGCAGAAACCCAGTGAGCCCCGTGAGCAGGCTCAATGCCGGGTGCTTTCCACGTGCTGTTTCATTTCAGATCTGACTCTAATGGCAGAAACCAGTCTGAATACAAAGAGATCTGCTGTGTGTGCATGTGTGTGTGTGTGTGTGTGTGTGTGTGTGTGTGTGTGTGTGTGTGAAAGGGGAGGGCTCAGCTTTCTCTTCTGACCCTCTCTCTGATCTGAGGTGACGGATGGACCAAACCATTCAAACTCCCTCTGCTCAGGGATGCAGCTGAGGGTTTCCCAGTTAGTGACAGAATCTGAGTGATTTGTAGGCATTTGTGTGCTGATTGTCTTGCCCTCTAGGCATGAACTGTGTTGTATCAGGAGGGCAAGAGGGTTCCAAATAGATTTAATATGCCTTGTATGAGCTTCAACCATCTGCCCGCCAGCTCTCAGTGTGAGCATAATATATGTTTCCAGAATCAAACACAAAGAGTCTGTTTTTTTTCCCCCTCTTTCTTTTTCCTTTTTTCAGAGGCTTTTAGTTCAGATCATTTGTCTTTTCCTTTTTTTAGCGGGGGTAGGCTACCAGGGTCATCCTTTCTACAATTATGTTGGCTTTCATTTTGTTTTCTGATTCCTCTGGCATATTTAAATAAATGGGTTTCCCTTTCCTGCTTGCCATGTACCCCCAACAGAAACGTATCCTTGGAATTGGTACATATCCATGAAATCTTGTGATACATCTATGAGGTGGTTGGAATGGAACTGCAGGCATTCCCAGTGAGTACAGATTAGACCCTGGACATCTGAAAAATCTTCCCAGGCTAAATCCGAATGCTGTTCTTCTGAATAATGCAACTTGAACCTCTTCTCTTCTCTCAGTGGAGATCGTGTGACTGTTGATGGGCCTGTTCTAGTAGCTATAACTTGTAGGACTCCGGTTATTCCAGTGTTGAGCGTCCTTGCCCTGGAACCCTTGTGTCATTATGGGGATCTTAGGCTCTGAAAGAGATGGAAGTAAGTTAAGCCAATCACAGCGTTCTTAACTTCAAATGTCACTTAGGTTACAGGAATTTAGCAGAAGATTCAGGAAACTCTTTGCATGAAAGTTGGGTGGGAACATGATTAGAACTCTCCTAGCATCACTCAGCAAGCAAGGGCTGGGCAGGGAGGGACTAGTGGAAAGTGAACTTTCAATATGCTCTTCTAAAGGCTCTAGGGCATAGGGGGTCACAATTCTTCAGTTCTGCTTATTTTTGTTTAGTCCGCAAAATTGGCATTGTTTGGTATTAGGCAGTGTATGTTTGAAAACTGCTTCCTCTTTAAATGCATTTCACATTCAATTCTCCCTACAGTGGAGGCTAAAAAAGCTCCACCCCTTGTTGCTCTTCCCCTCTAACCTGCATGCCTGGACAGGCTCCATCTCTTTCTAGCTGTGTGACCTTGGGAAGGTAATAAACATCTCCGTGCTGTATTTTTCTCAGTTGTAAAGTAGGGATTATGATAGTGTTTCATTATGAGCTGAGGAAATGATCAAATATAATAATGCCTAATGGTATATGTAAAGTACTGAGTAAGTGCCTGCCACATAGCACCGTGTTGGCTACTGTTACTGTCATTACCATGGAGATGAAGGATGGAGAAGATTGAAAGCGTGGATTCCCCATAACGGCTTGTGCTGTTCAGCTGTGGAAGACGTTGTCTGGACACATCTCTGCCCCTAGAGAACTAAGAAGTCAGGGCTTGATGGCAGGGAATGAAGGAAATAGAAATAGTATTTTTTTTTTTTTGAAGCTTTGGTTTAAGTGTGTGGCTGCCATAGGTGTGTGGTTGGATGGGAACCGTTCCTCCCTTCCTTTCAGGCAGGATTAGCCTTGCCTTCTCCTCCTTCTTTTAACCCCCAGGTATTTAGACTTGGTCTAAACTAGAGTCATTTTTTGTTTTGTTTGTGATGATGATGGAGCTTTAGGGGGACCTTGTCCAGAACTCACTGAGTGTCTGATGCAAAGCAGATCTGGGCCTCTGTGGATAGTTAGAACTAAACAACCTTTAGGGGGATGGCATGCTTTGGACCAGAGCCCAGAACCTGTCCATTCACTGTCCCAGCTGTCTTTCCTGTGGATTTTTTAAGGACAGCGGCCACAGCAATTAGAATGGACCAGTCGAAGGAGGGATGTGAAGCAATGAAATGCAGACAGAGATGGTGTTTGCCTCAAGTGCCTTCTGCTCCTTCCCCCTACCCCATCTTTTGGATCTTTAGCTTTCTGGCTCCCGTGGGATCTCTTCTCACATGTTCAGCTCTGCTTTTTCCTGCTGGTTCCCTGCCTCTGCTCCATGGTCTGTGGCCTCTATGGAGCAATGGTCATGACTCTGATGTTCCTTTGCCGGGTCTCAGCCACATTGTTGACTGCTGCTGCCCATTGTTGCACTTGGCTCCATATCGATGGAGTTTCATATCGATGTCCCACGTGCTTCCCAGGTGCCCTCCAGCTCTCCTCCCTTGAGCTGTGGTACTTCGGGGTATGGCATAGTCTTGATACCACTGAGGGTTTGGTTGTTATGCAGTATTAACTGGTTGGATAGCATCACCAGCTCAATGGACACGAACCTGGGCAAACTCCGGGATACAGTGAGGGGTAGGGAGGCCCGGTGTGCTGCAGTCCATGGGGTCTCAAAGAGTCAAACACGACTGAGCGACTGAACACCAATAACATACAGGATCAGTCCCATCATTGTCATCGGCGCCGACCTTGGCACTCCTACCATGACCGTGATGAACCAGACCCTGTCCCACAAGCACAATGACACTTGTATTAAGCCCCAAACAGGCGACGTATAACTTATTCTCTTAGTCTCTTATCACACCTGTAATGCTGCACCTTTTCCATTTATCTATTTGGCATCTTCAGATTGTATGTTTCTCATGAGTCAAAATACAAGTTCCTTCCAGGGTTGGGTTCGAAGAGGATCGATATCACACTGAATGACTTAACCCCTTACACGGCCCAACTTCCTTTTGTGCTGACCATCAGCCAATTATATTGGCCTAAGTCTTGAATCTTTCCTTTACTAGAGTATGTCTCCTTCCCATCCCAGACAGCCAGAGCAGGACTTTCTTCCAGGGAACCCCTTTACAACTTTCCAAAGAACTAAACCTTGACATCTCTGAAGTACAAGGATGGAAACCCCAAGTTCCTGCATCAGAGGAATAAGCTTGGCTGGGATGTGGGAGTGGTATCTAAAGGCTGTGATGCTGAGTCCTTCTCTGTCCCTCCATCTCCTCCCTCCCCTCTTTCTCTCTCCCTCCCTCCCTCTTCCTTTCTCTCTCGCTTTCTCCCCCTTTCTCATTTTTTTTTTTCTTTTGTTTTGCACCTAGCTCAAAGTAAAGCTTTTGGGGGCATGATTTAGTGAAGATGTAGGGGCACTGAGAAAATGACTCATTGGAAAGAGCATGGGCTACCAGGAGATTTAGAATCGGAGTCCCACTCTGCCAGTCTGCTAGCTGTGTAAACTTAGGCAAAAACCTTAACCTCTCTGAGCCTCTCGTTCTGCAAGTTTCTCTTGTTCTGTTGGGGCGGGGGCGGGGAAGGAGGAAGTAGATTGGACTAAATTCTCAAAAACATTCTCTGATGGAAATGGGCCGTTCGCAGTTAGTATTGGAAAAGTCCCAGTGTATATTAGACTTTCCCACCTCCCTTCTTAGTAAGGCAGACAGGGGTGCCCAGACAGAAGCCACACGCTTAAGCATTGTACCAAGAAAGAAGGGAGGCAGATACTAAGTTTAAATCAATAGTATTCCTCGAGCACTGAAGATAGAACTGTTTCCCCCAAATTGTTTTGATTGCTGCCAGTAGCTGCTATTTGGTATGAAATCCATTCAGATCATCAAAAACCAAAGGAACATACAGTGCATGAAAAGATGTGGTAATTGGCATCATTGTAACTCTATACAGTGTGTGATCTTAGCTGGGAGGAAGGGAGGGTTGTTAGATAACTTGTAATCTAATTTTCTTTGTTGTAAAATAGAATGTTACCATTGTATTCCTGTGGAATTATAATTATACCATCTCAGCCAAGTAGAGCTGCCTTTCTCAGGAGGTGCTTAAAGAGCTCAATAGACATCCATTCAGCCTTGTAAACATAGTAAAACCTGGCTTGCTTGCATATCTCTCGACTGAAAATTCCTATTAGCCAGCCTCTCCCCTCATCCTTCCTATGGGGATAAGTGATTTTTATGCTGGTGAACCCGACATCCCGAGAGACACTGAAGTGCCTTCTGAATCATCAAAGAATTATGAAACCTTCCGTAGAGTTTCAGTGTTAATTGCAATTTATGACAGCCTAATTTTTTGAAAAGTGGTAATTCACGTGTTGCATAAGTGATAATTAGTTGGAATAGTTGATTAATCAGACTGCTCTATTTTCTGACCACACTGAGGTAAAGTATTTACAGTAACTGCAATACTGGCTCTTTATTAGTGCCACGAGGGAGGCAGGGTAAATGAAAGTAGTATTCTCTATTTCATCATCATTATTATTATTTTAAAAATTTATTTATTTTTTTTAATTGGTGGGAAGTTGCTTTACATTTTGTGTTGGTTTCTGCTGTCGAACAACTCAAATCACTCATATAATTAAATATATATATATATATTTCTTCCCTCCTGAGCCTCCTTCCCCTCCTCCTATTCCACCCCTCTAGGTCATCACAGAGTACCAGTCTGGGCTCCTTGTATTATTTAGCAACTTCCTACTAACTATCTATTTTACACGATAGTGTATATATGTCAATGTTACTTTCTCTAGTCATCCCACCCTCGCCTTCCCCCACTGTGTCCACAAGTCTGTTCTATACTAGTTTCATCAATACCTTTCTTCTATATTCCACATATATGTATTAATATTCAGTACTTATTTTTCTCTTACTGACTTACTTCACTCTGTATAAGAGGTTCTATGTTCATCTCCCTCACTAGAACTGACTCAAATTCGCTTTTTATTACTGAGTAATATTCCATTGTATATATAATATCCTTTATCCAGTCATCTGTTGATGGATGTTGAGGTTGCTTCCCTGTCCTGGCTATTGTAAATAGTGCTGCATTAAGCATTGGGATACATGTGTCTTTTAGAATTGTGATTTTCTCAGTGTGTATGCCCAGTGGTGGGATTGCTGGGTTGTATGGTAGATTTACTCCTAGTTTTTTTTTTAAGGAATCTCCATACTGTTTTCCATAATGGCTGTATCAGTTTACATTTCCAACCAACAACGCAGGAGGCTTCCCTTTTCTCCACACCCTCTTCAGCACTTACTGTTTGTACATTGTTTTGATGATGGCCATTCTGACTAGTGTGAGGTGATACGTCATTGCAGTTCTGGTTCGCATTTCCCTAACAATGAACATCATTTCATGTATGCATTATTATTTTTTATTAAGGTATAATTGACATATAATATTATGTTAGTTTCAGATGTGATATGGTCCCTACTTACTGCAGTGTTCTATACTGTTCTATAGTGTTCCACCCTGTTCTATAAACATAGTTATAGGATTTCTTTCTTGCAATAAGAAATTTTAAGATTTACTCTTAGCAACTTTAAAATACACAGTACAGTATTTTTAACACATTACATCCTCATGAGTTATTTACTTTATAGCTGGGATACTACCTTTTGATCCTCTTCACTCATTTCAGACCTCCCCCACCCCACCCTTAGTCCCTGCTTCTGACAACCACCAATCTGTTCTCTGTATGGACTTGGTTGGTTTTGATTTTGTTTTTAAGGTGTGAGATTGTATGGTACTTTTCTTTCTCTATTGGACTTATTTCACTTAGCATAATGCCCTCAAGGTCCATTCATGTTGTCAAAAATAGCACAATTTTATTCTCTTTATGGATAAATAATATTCCATTATATTTATGTGTGATATTTTCTTTATTCATTCATCTGTTGATGGAGACAGTAGTATTCCATATAGCCTGGCAGGTGTACATTATTACTCGTTCTGGGCAAATGGTCATTTTCAGAACTTATTCCTCAATTTCTGCATTAACTTCTAAAATATATGAGAAAACAGGTAAATTATACAAATATATTATATTTGCTTTTCATGGCTTTGCAATCCCCAGGGTCATTGCTGATAACTAGACTATTAGCTCTTATAGTAAAGGTGAGTAAAATTGAATTTTGTATGATATTTAACAGAGCCTCTTCACAAACAGAGGTTTCTTAAGGGGAGGATCAGTGCAGTAGACTTGTGTTAACTGGTCCATTCTAAATGTGTTACAAAAGGGATAAGATCTTAAATCAGTTAAGATTAACTTGATAACTTTTTTAAATGCTCAAGTACCTAATAATGGGATCTTTAAAAAGTATTGGAATTGGGGTTATAGTCAGGTTCATTGCAAAGGAATAGAAAAATTCAGGAATATGTAAGAAGAAATAAAAAAAATCCATTATTCTATCACCCAGAGAGAACTATGATTGCCTTTGGTATATGTCATTCCATTTTCTTCCTATGTATACATGCAAACATTTTACAAAGTTAGCATATACTACATGTACTATATGCTGCCCCCATACAACATACATAAAGGACATTTTCTAGGTTAGTAAATATATTCTTTAAAACCATACTTAATGCTGACTGTATTTATGAATTGTAATTTATCAATATAGTCTTCCATCATCAGACTTCAAGTGGTTTACAAATTTTAGCTTTATACTGCTTCAGCAAATTATCTTTGCTCATTCATTTGCTGATCCATCCATCCAATCAGTTTTTACTGAGTATGGTGTGCCAGGCTCTGGGTCAGTAATTAAGGACATATCATTAATCATAATCCTCCTAAGAGTTAACATTTATTACCATTTCTAACTATGGACCAGGAACTTTATGAGTATCTTAATTATATGAATAGGTATTAATATAATAATCATTCTAATAAGTTAGCATAATAATATTAACTAATTAAATCCTTATGAGGTAGACAAGGAAAACAAATAAGAAAACAGGTTTATCTAACTGAAGTGACTTGGCCCAGATCACTTTAAGTCAGTAGTTGCCAGAACCAGAATTCAAACCCAGGCAACCTGACTCCAGTCCTGGTCTTAGAACCACAGTGGCTACTATGTCAGTAAAATCACACTCTCTTGCTCCTATGAAACAATTTTAATTGTAGTGCTCTTTGAATCATTTTGTTTTTTTGATTTGATTTCTGAATATTTTCTTAGGATAAAGTCTAAAAACAGAAATGCTGAGCCAGGGCTTCCCTGGTGGCTTAGTGATAAAGAATCCAGTTGCCGATGCAGGAGACACAGGGTTTGATCCCTGATCTGGGAAGATCCCACATGCTGAGGAGCAATGAAGCCCATGCACCACAGTTATTGAGCCTGTGCTCTAGGCCTGGGAGCCACAACTACGGAAGCCCACGTGGCCTAAAGGGCGTGCTCTGCAATAAGAGAAGCCACTGCAATGAGAGGTCGTGACTAGAGAGTAGCCCCTGCTCCCTGCAGCTGGAGAAAGCCCAGGCAGAGCAACAAAGACGCAGCGCGGCCAAAAATAAATAAACAGAATTATGTAAAAAAATCTAAATTACATTATAAAAAAAGAAATGCTGGGTCAAACATTATGAATAATCCTAGTGAATAATACTGTGGTCAAGGTCCCAAATGGGGGAGGACCAGGGATGAGAAGATGGTCTTTCTGTGTCTCTATCTACCCATCCATCTGTCCCTCCACTCATACATCCATCTTGGGTCTCTCTTGTTGCTCTAACATCAGGGGAGACAGCAGGAAATAGATGTGGTAGTGATTCAGACCTGGGCAGCTTGGAGATGGTGTGGGCAATGCTCTTCCCATCAAGGCAGAGTCAGTGGGTGGCTGCCTTTCAGGGATGTTTCTTGTGACACTATATGATGCGGGATGGCAGAGGGGAGGTAGAAGGGATACGAAGAGCTCATCAAAGGAATGAGTCTAGATCACAAGTGTGAGTATACAGCCCCTTAAGATGACTATCGTTACAAGAAAATGCCTCCACCTCACACCAGTCAGAATGGCCATTATCAAAAAATCTGCAAATAATAAATGCTGGAGAGGATGTGGAGAGAATGCAAATTGTTACAGCCATCATGGAGCACTGGAATGCACTGTTGGTGGGAATACAGCCATCATGGAGAAGAACAGCATGAAGACTTCTTGAAAAACTAGGAATAAATCTAGCATATGATTCAGAAATCCCACCACTGGACATATGCCCTGAGAAATACCATAATTAAAACATGTACCTCAATGTTCATAGCAGCATTATTTACAATAGACAGGACATGGAAGCAACCTATATGTCCATAGATAGAGGAATGGAATAAGAAGTTGTGATATACACACACATAGACACACACACACACACATATTCCAATATGACTCAGCCATAAAAAGGAACAAATTTGAGACAATTCTAGGGAGGTGGATGAACCTAGAGCCCGTTATACAGGGTGAAGTAAGTCAGAAAGAGAAAAACAAGGATCATATATTAACACACATATATGGAATCTAGAAAAATGGTACTGATGAACCTATTTGCAGGGCAGGAATAGGAACTGAGACATAGAGAATGGACTCAAGAACACAGCGGGGGAAGGAGAGGATGGGATGAACTGAGAGAGTGGCATTGAAATATATACATTAAAAGGGAGGGGGGCTCAAATGGTAAAGAATCTGTCTGCAATGTAGGAGACCTGGGTTTGATCCCTGGGTCAGGAAGATCCCCTCGAGAAGGGGATTCATTGAAATACATACATTACCATGTGTAAAACAGATAGCTGATGGGAAGTTGCTTTATAGCGAAGGTAACTCAGCCTGGTGCTTTGTGACAGTCTAGAGCGGTGGGTTGGGGTGGGGAGTGGGAGGTAAGTTCATGAGGGATGGACATATATATACCGGTGGCTTATTCATGTTGATGTATGGTGGAAACCAACGCAACACTGTAAATTATCCTTCAATTAAAAATAATAAAAAAGAAAATGCCTCTATTCACTAAAAATCACTAGTTCAGTTAAAGATTTTCTTATTTCAGTTAGTATTTAATACAGCCTTCCTTGTTCCTAAACCATAAATTACTCATATATGGCAAGTGACTCTCTATAAATATTCCTTCTGTTCCTTAAATTCCATATTTTTTCTTAAGTTCTGCTCCCCAAATGAACATTATTTGTTCTTTGCCAACTTTCTGTCATGTGGTATCATGTAATAGCAAAAATACAGATCTGACTAGCAGTTGAACTAGGTTTAATTCCTGTCTCTGCCATGAACCTGCTGTGTGGTGTTAGCCAGTCTTTTTAATTCTTGATTTCTTACCTTTAAAGTAATACAGAGTTGTAATGACAATCATATGAAGTGCTATGAGCAGAAAAAAAAAATAACAGTTAACCTATATTGAGTTCTTATTTTACATATCACAAAATAAGACACTGTTCTAAGTGTTTAAAATGCATACATGGACTTATTCCTCAGAATAATCACATGGTAAGCTGGATTCCAAATAGCTCTATGGCTTTCACCCCTGGTTTTCCTTCTGTGATTATGTTACATTATGTGGGACTTTGAAGATGTGATTACGTTGACTAATCAGGTGACCTTAGGACAGGAAGATGATCTAAGTGGGCCTGGATATTATAATTGTGTAATCACATGAGCCTCTTTAAAGTGAAAAGTCTTCTCTGGCTGTTTGCAGGAAAAGAAGTTAGAGAGATCTGAAGCCTGAGAAGGACTCAAGACGACTGTTGCTTAGAAGATGGAAGAGGTCACGTGAGAAGGAATCTGGGCAACCTCTCTGAGTGGAGGGTGGGCACCCAGGTGACAACTGACAAGGAAACCAGGACTGCAGACCTATAGCTGCAGGGATTAGAGTTTGTCAACCAGTTTGCTTTAAAAAATGGTTATTTATTTATTTTTGGTTGTACTGGGTCTTTGTTGCTGCACATTGGCTTTCTCTAGTCGCAGTGAGCAGCTGTGGTTCATGGGCTCCTCATTTTGGTGGTTTCTCTTGCTGTGGAGCACACGGGCTTCAGCAGTTGTGGTGTGTGGGCTCAGGAGTTGCACTCGTGGGCTCTGGAGCTCAGACTTCAGTAGTTGTGGGGCATGGGCTTCGTTGCCCTGTGGCATGTGTAACCACACATGCAGGGATCGAACCCATGTCTCCTGCATTGGCAGGTGGATTCTTAATCACTGGACATCCAAACCCGAATATTTATAGATAGAATACAAAAGATAAAACCAGAGATGTCAAAGAAATTTTGTTTTTGAGGATCTCTTTACTGCAAAAAAAAAAAACAAAACAAAAAACCTTGATTGAAAAAAGTTTGAGAAGCACTGAGCTGATATATTCAAAGTAATTTACACCTTTCCTTCATATTCTATTCCCTAAATTTACAGTGAGTTTGTTATACCAGCTAGAATTCTGGAATGAGAATCAAGAAATGGACCCAGCTATTCATCACCATCCATCCAACCACCCATCTTCTACTCATGGTGTCCAACAAGCATTTATAGGGTGCTCCTAAGACTGTGTGACTTGATGAAGTAATACAGGTTCTTCTATTTCTGTTTCCTTGCATTTAAAACTAATTAGGTGATGCGACAAACCTTTCTCTATTACCAACGGGATGCTTTTACAGTTCTTGTATGTGTTGACCTCTGGGTTTGACAAGGTAGGGCAGTGTTTCTTCAAGTCCAGCCTGGGTATCTACCACCTGCAGCAGAATCTCCTGGATCCTTAATTAAAAAGCAGACCCTGAGGTTGCCCCAAACCTTCTGAATCAGAAACACTGGAGGTTGGAGTCCAGTACTTCTGGTTTTAAACAAGCTCTCCGAGTTATTCTCATGTATACTTCAAGTTCGAGGGGTATAGCTATGTTGTTCAATCGGCAAGTCCTGCAGACTCTTTGCAACCCCTTGGACTGGAGCTCGCCAGGCTTCCTTGTCCCTCAACATCTCCCAGTTTGTCCAAGTTCATGTTCATTGACTCTGTGATGCCATCCAACCATCTTATCTCTGTTGCACTCTTCTCCTTCTGCCTTCAATCTTTCCCAGCTTTTTTTTTTTTTTTTAAATTTTCTGGCTGCAAAATAAATATGTAAGGTAGGTTCCCGTGTCCTAAAATTATCTCCCTTATTAGAAGACAAGCCTTACAGGTTTGGAAAGAAAACAGGACCATACCTGTGTGCATGAACCTCCTGGCCATGTCCATCCGTCCCCGCCCTACCCCCACCCCAGCCAAGGTTGTGATTATGGAGCATATTTGTGCCCAGATAGCTCCCTATCTGTGCCCTGTACCTGCAAAGTCACCTTTCCCCTTCTGGGCCAGTGCCTGTCCCATGCATGATGAGGGGTTACAGGGAGAACGTGAGCGGGAGTCCTCTTCCCAGGCTTAGGGAGCCTTTTCCCTTCCCCGAGGGAGGGTGGGGCCGGCGCCAGCCGCCGGGGGAGCCCCTGCGGGCAGCGCGCGCCTGGCAGCCGTCACCCGGCGGGTCAGCCGCGGCCGGAGGCAGCCCTTCCCACCTCCCTGGGCGCGGAGAGGGGAAACCGGAGAAGTGGGTCACCCCGGCCGGCCCCGTCCGCCCACCCTCCCCGGCCTCGCCTCCCGCTCTCCCGCCGAGCTTCAGGCCTGGGCCACCGCCGAAGCGGTGTGGCTGGAGCGGCGGCGCCCGAGGCCGGGTGCGCCGCGGAAGGACGGATCCGGCGCCTCGGGAGAGCCCCTGCCTCATATGGCAAAGTTTCTAGCCAAGCTCCTGGGCTGCACGTTGCCGAGCAAGGGCGCCTCTCCCATGTTTGAGGTAGGTGGAGGGCGTGTCCCCGCGGCGCGGCCGTCGGCGCGGGCGGCGACCCCCGGCCGGGGCCCTGGACCGTCTCTCTCGCTGGTTTCCACCTGCAGGTCTGGGGTGGGGCGCGAGGATGGCCGGGGGTTGGGGTCGGGGGGAAACCGGACCGCAGGGAGCCTGAAATCTAGCTCCTCTGGACCTCGGTGAAAATTTTGTTTTCCTTCCCTAGTAGGCAAACACGTTTTCTGTTAATCGAGTTTTACGAGTTGCTCTTTCCCTAAAAGGCCAGGAACGTGTGAAAATGAGCGGGTACCCTGCAGTCCCTCCCTGCTGCCTACTTTGTTTCTTGCCTTTTCCTTTTCATCTGAAAAAACCTCAAACCCCAAACCCAAAACAAACCAGGACGTGCGATCTTTGGGTCGGGAGGTTCCCACCTTGCCGCCCTCCTCCGCTCCCCTCCCCCAGCCTCCCGCACGGCGCCAACTCCATTGAAGTTAACTCCTTTCTTCTTTTGGGAGTAAGATCCCTTGCGGATGAGAAGGGTTAAAAATGGGATTGGCCACCTCGGGTGAACGAATCGCAGTGCTGAAGGCAGGTACATCGAATTGCTCCCACCTGTCTGAGGCGGCAGTGATGCTGCGGTGAACATCTCTGCAAGGAGGCGTGTTAAGAGGAGGGCGGCTGGCTTCTCCTGGGGTGAAGGATGGCACCGACGGTTTTATAGGAATCCCATGGGGGCCACTCAATAGGGACAGCGTCACACTGTGCACAGCTCCCCTTACCCCACGTCTGGAGCCCGTGTATCCTTTGTCTGCTCCACCTGCTGACTGCCTGACTGCCAAGCCTGGACCAGAGGACGGTGGCCGTGGCCAGGTTAACCTGCACTGCGGTGCGTGCCTGTTCTTTCTCCTCAGTGAGTCCTAGGCCCCTGCCAGCCTGAGGAAATAGCAACCCACTCCGGTATTCTTGCCTAGAGAACCCCAGTCACAGAAGAGCCTGGTGGGCTACAGTCTGTGAGGTCACAAAGAATCGGATATGACTGAAGCAACTTAGCATGTTAGCACGACCTAAAGGTTAGGCATCATTTGAGGGTGGTTCTGGACACCCGAGGTGCTTCTTGAAAATAGCTTTTCTCTTTGGCTTTCTCTTCACTTGCGTTTGGATTTTTGTTCTGAAATTACCAGAATCCATGCCAAGCAATTTCAGTTGTACATGCTGCCTTTTAATGGTATATTCCTGCCTGTTTTATCTTCAAGCCAACAGATGCCCCACCTTAACTTCTTAAAATAATTGCCTCTCAATCATGGCTGGGAGGAGGGGGCCTCAGAAACTAGCCAGAGACCTATATATTTATTTTCAACAATTTTATTTATTTTTGGCTGTGCTAGGTCTTCATTGCTGTTGCGGCTTTTTCTCCAGTTGCGGTGAATGGAGGCTACTCCCTAGTTGTGGTGCGTGGGCTTCTCACCGTGGTGGCTTCTCTTGTTGGAGGGCACCGGCTCTAAGTGTGCGGGCTTCAGTAGTCGCAGCACACGGGCTCAGTAGTTGCGGCTCCAGGGCTCAGGAGCACAGGCTTGGTTGCTCTGTGACACGTGGGATCTTCCCGGATCAGGGATCAAACCCACGTCGCCTGCTTTGCCAGGTGGATTCTTTGCTACTGAGCCACCAGGGAAGCCCCTAGAGACGTATTAGAGAGTTAAGAAAATGAGTGGCTGTTTGGTCTTTGGAGAGCTCTAGGGAGTGGGAATTCCCTCAGTCCTTGGCGTCTCCTTGTGTCTTGCTCTGGGTTATTTTTAAGCACCCAGAGGCAGGAGCTGCCGTGGTATCTGCTGTCTTCCTTTCTACAACTGATGGATGCAGTGTTGGCTGAATCAACCCCAGACACTTCACCCAGGTGTCACTTTTAATCAGTGCTGCTGGAGCAGTTAAGTGATCATCCATTTCCTCCCTGTGGGGGAAAATCTGTGCCCTCAGACAGATGAATAACTGAGTCAGGAATGTGTTTCAAGGATGCTTTCTTCTCAGGCAGCAACCCCTTCAACGTGCTCAGTCATAAACCAAGAGGCAGTTGTTGAGAGCTCTCGACGTCTGGGAGGGAGAGAAGTGTTGTAAGAAAGAGATTCTTAAATCTTTCTAAATATTCCTTTTCTAAAAGTGGAAGGCGTGCTAGGATCTGATAACATTTTAGGCAGCTTTTCGTTTCCACCACACACTCTAACTGTGGAGGTTACCTTCAGTTTCAGGGAAATCAAGAGCAGAGATGGGTGTTTACATGATGCATGACCTTTGGTTTCATTTTGGTTTGGAGCTGACCAGGAATTTAGTTGCTTCCTCTGTGTGTGTGTGTGTGTGTGTGTGAGTTGCTCAGTCATGTCTGGCTCTTTGAGTCCCTATAGACTGCAGCCCTCCAGGCTCCTCTGTCCATGGATTCTCCAGGCAAGAATACTGGAGTGGGTTGCCATTCCCTTCTCCAGGGGATCTTCCTGACCCAGGGATTGAACCCAGGTCTCCTGCATTGCAGGTGGATTCTTTACCGTCTGAGCCACGGGGGAAGCCCTAGTTGCTTCCTACGCAGGCCAAATAGGTTTACGCAGAAGAAATTCTACCTGAAAGAGCCCTGAGTCCTGACAGGACCTCTCATGTGCTTGCCGTTGTCTGACCAGGGAGGACGGGTGCCAGGCTGTGGAGGACACGGGAGCCAGAAGTCACTATGGTTGAAAAACAATGCCAGTGCGTGTCCGGCTGCATCATCTTCAAAGGCTAAGGACAGATGGTGTGCGTTTGAAACAGAACGTCTTCATGATCATTTTGTTTCATCTTTTTCTTAGTATTTCAGTTAACAAGCCAAGTCTTTGAGAAACGGCTTTAAAATTTCAAGGAAAAAAGAAAGCAAAGAACCATAAGTTCACTCCAGCCACGGTGGCACCGTGAGCATGGGGCTAGATGTTTGGAATGCAGTTTGCAGTACATGAAGGCAGAGGTCCTACAAAAAGAGTGGGCTTCCTGAGCGTTCTGATATCTAAGCACACGGGTATGTGGTTTCAGACCCAACAGGTTCTACTTCTCTGTGTCCTGTGGGCTTGGATGGCTGGATGTAGGGTCCTGCCATCAATTTCTTCCCCTTT